TTAAATAAATCATCGATTATTTAAATAAATCATCGATTATTTAAATAAATCATCGATTATTTAAATAAATCATCGATTATTTAAATAAATCATCGATTATTTAAATAAATCATCGATTATTTAAATAAATCATCGATTATTTAAATAAATCATCGATTATTTAAATAAATCATCGATTATTTAAATAAATCATCGATTATTTAAATAAATCATCGATTATTTAAATAAATCATCGATTATTTAAATAAATCATCGATTATTTAAATAAATCATCGATGATTTAAATAAATCATCGATGATTTATTTAAATAATCATCAATTATTTAAATAAATAATCGATGATAAACCATGTCCCAATTTCCCTTGGCGTCACTCATATTATAAAATTATTAAAAAAAATATTTAAACCTACCTATAATTTAATGACGCGTCTAACATCTAGTAAGCTTTTATAATTAATCTTTTATATCCGTTCCTGGTTTTGCGCAACTGCGTTGCACAGCTACCCTATTTTTCTTCATTGTTGAAGTTCATAAAATAAATAATTAAAAAATTTATTTGTTAGCCATTTCTTATAATCATTTTCTCGAAACAATTTTCCGATACCATAACACTGATAATCAGGTAATACAGTTCTATTTTGGTATATAATTAATTTAATTCTAAATTCTTATTTATAAAAAAAAGTATCTTTATTATTTTTATTCTAGTTATAATTGAAAATCAGGCATAAAATCAAGAAAAAATAATATATTATGCAATAAGATTCAAATACAATATGTTGTGTATAAAGAATATCTAAACAGCAAATAAAATTTTTTCAGAAGAAAACAACCATTGCAAATGAAGTATAATTGAAGTAGAAAGATTAATGATGACGAAATTTGAAATTAATTTAAACTATTTAACCAAATTTGTTAATAAATTTTTCGCAAGAAAAAAGTTATAAAATTAATTTATTATAAGTAGAAGCACGTTGAAGTTTACTAATATCATGTCGACCATTGCAACATTGTCGCAAATTTTTTAAATCTTCACTATCATAATCATCATCATAATAATTATCAAAATCGTTATTAATAAATTCTACAGAAAGTGAAGTCGGAATTTGTCTTGTATTTGCAGATCTTTGATGTAAATATTTTAAAGCCTAATATAGTAATGTGGAATAAGTGTGTTACGATGAGCGAAAATACAGTAAATAAAGTGTGTTACGATACATAACATGAAGCATACATAACATGAAAGATCATCAATATTATTAATTAAAGTAAACAAACTAACCTGAAACCAACATTCATGTTGTTCTTTTGATTGGGTAACGATTTCTAAATCGCTTTCTGGAGTTGTAATGACTAAACTCGTGTGATATAAATTTGGGGATGAATAATCATAGTTAACAACTTCTCGAACAGATTCGATGTAAACTACAAATATGATACATTATTAGATGACATTAACTAAATAATAAACTGAATAGCGATAATAAAATAAAATAAAAAACTATACAGTATGTTACATACCGAAATAAGACACTCTTTTCTTTAAGTTCAGACTGTCTAAATCATAGGTAGCAGGATTCTCTTTACTCCAATATAAGATATTAGTATAAGGATGAATCCAAAAGAATCGTTTATGTCGTTTTCTTGACCAAAAATTGTTTCTAGTATATTTCCATAAATATTCACCAATCAAAGTTTTAGCGATCACGTGAATAATATTTGGATCTATGTTAATGGGGCTTTGAATATTACGAACTAGATCATTTTTACTTTTAGAAGAGCAAATAGAAATTTCAGACTGATGCTTCAAGAATTTTTCTTTATTGAACGTTGATGTATGTTTCTTATTATTCATCTTATTTTGCTCATGACGAACTTTTGAACCATAGACATTTGGCACAGAGTTTTCTTCTTTAAGCTGCTCTGTTACATCAATTTACGAATACAAATGATTAATTTGTGCTTTAAACTTTTTTTTTTTTTATAAATAAAGAAGTAAAATGATCATACTTTCAGATTCTTTATATGCCTGTATTGTTTTATTAAGTTGTTCATTAAACCGACCTAATTTAGCTTTACTTTTCTCAAGCTTCTTTATTCGTTGATCTTTCTCCTGTAACTGAGCTTGTAAGTGCCTGACTTCTATATTCAAAACTTGTCTTTCGTCTATCGTTCCTGTTGTTGAGGAAGCATCTCCTAACTAATAAATATATATATATATAAATAAGTTTGAATTATGACAATTTGACACAATTTAAAGAATGGTAAAATTACTTACGGATGACGCCATCAAAAACTCTTTTAATACTTTTACTACATTTTCATTCAAGGCTCTAGATCCCTTTTCGTGCTCTGTTATTTTGTCTTTTAACTCTTGAGAGATTTCATCACCCTCCGTCAGATAAAGTTCTTGTAATCTATTTTCTAATTCGGTTTGTTGTTTTAAAAACGCGGTACTCAAATCTGTGATCATCCATAATTGACTTGACTTTTCGTTTAGTTGACTTTGTAACTGTCTTTTTAATACTGTTACTGATTTTGTATAATTAACGTCTACGCATTGTTGTGAAGATGATACATTTATACCAAGAGCATCAAAATCGTTTATATCTGTCATATTACAATATTTCAGTTCGTATTTTAAAACTAGAACTTTAAAAACTTAAAAATAAAGAATTTGATTGATATTTAATTAACGAAAAAAAGGGTGAAAGTGAAAAAGTAAATTATCATTACAAGTAATTTTTTTTAAAAAGAATTTAACGATATAAAGATTATAAGATTATAGACATGATTAATAATGTCAAGATCTCTTCTTTTCCTTTTTTTTTCAGAAAGAAAAAAAAAACTTAAAACGATCCATTTCTATATAATAAGTTTCAACGTGTTTTTGCATTTATGCACAGATTTATTTACATGCATAACTCAACTAATACAAAATAGAATTTTTTCAGTGGTGCAAACTAAATTTTTTAGCTCTAGAATAATTAATCATGACATAAAATTAACTGTGTTCTAAATTAAATACTTTCGAACATAACTAAATAAAAATTTTTTAAAATTATTAAAAGGAATTTCTTACATAAAAAGATAAATGAAATACGTATTTAAAAATTGTTTGGTTTGGCTTATCCAAGAAAGTTTGAATGGTGCATATATTTGAAAATAAAGTTTGATGACGTATGTACATATATATGTATCTGTTATGCATATAGACTATAATAGCTAGCTGATTTTATTTTTGGCGTAGTTCACTTATTTTTATGAACGTCCCTTCGCATATGATGTTCTTTGTTTGAATTCCAATTAATATTAAGATTTCGAAATTTTTTAATATTTATAGGAATTCTAAAACCTTAAAAAGTAATATCTTTGTCGCTATTACTTTCTGAATTCCTTCCTATGATATTGACTATTATTTTTACTCTTTATTTTTCAAAAAATTAACGAAATTTGCAATATATCCTAATTTAAAAAAAAAGCGATACACAGAACACTTTGTTATACAATCCATTTACGCTACTTTTAGAAAATCTTAGAAAAACTGCATTGATAAGATCATATGATATATAATTGTTCGTGCTTTAATGATTTCTGTCATATTGATCCTTTGCTTGTGTATATATTGTTAGAAAGCTATTGTTCAACGAATTGAGGTATATGTTTATCTTCAACTGTTCCATGATTTTTTTTCCTTGACATTTTAGTTACTAATTCATTATTGTTAGTGATCAAAATAAGGTCATTTACCAGTCGAGAACACTCACATGATGTTTTTTGAGTAAATTTTCTATCTTGTAAGGCTTCTGAAATGTTTGAAATTAATAAATGTATCCATTATGAAAATCCGCAAGAATTAATCCCGTTATTACTGACATATTTATTTTGAAATATGTGATTTATAAATTCTATTTATATATATATATATATGATAATAATATATTACCAGAAAATACATCTATTTCGTTTTCTGAATTTCGGAATTCAAAACAGTAATGAGATTTTTTAAACTCCACTTATTTTCGAAATAAGTTAATTCTGAATCACCCTACCATGAATTTAAGCCATATATCGTGAGATGTAGAGTTATAATTACAATTAACGAGATTTACAAATTCTTGAATATTAAAGAGTTTTCCGAGCTGGATTTTCATGTTTACGGAATCGACCGTTATTTTATAGAACATCATCTAATCATTCACCTTATAAACAGATGCAAACCCTTCTTGACCTATCTGGTTTATATCTTTTAATATGCTTTAAATAGAACCCATTCAATCGTTTGATAAAAAAAAATGTTACACTTAACTTGTAATCTTTTATAAATTTATCGATATCTTTTTTACTTGTTCATCTTTGTATAAATTTATCGATATCTTTTTTACTTGTTCATCTTTGTATAAACTATCTGGGTCACACATTAGACAATGATTTTTAAATCTTAAAAGCATTACAATTATAACGATGAACCAAATCGTTATCTTGGATACCACGATCATTAAACAATATTTAATCTGTTTTTCCGTTCGTTCATTCATTAAATTTATTTTTTCCTTTTTTACGCCATATTAAAGAGTTTCAGAACAAAAATGCAGAAATCTAATTTTGATTAAAATAAGTGATGTATTTGTTTTCAAATAAGATTGCATCAATTTCTATTTCGTTTCTGATAGATTTGAATTAACGATCGGGGAAAGGTGGGGAAGTTTGAAGAACAAGGAACTAAGTGATGATCCCGAATTGTCACCCTCGATATAATCACATGGCAAGTTTTATTGGTTAAAAAAATGTAAACAATATGCATTGAAAATCACGTTATGGGATATACGATTTACTATGACCCATATCAGATTGTAAAATTGATAATCTCTATAATGCTTCCTTTGTCGCTTTGGTGCTTTCTTC